TAAAAATATACTAAAGTTGCTCCATACTATTACATGCCACACTGATGCCTTCTAAGGCATTACAATTGCCATGTTTGGCTAACATCCTACAAGCATCGTCTACAAGAAATTTTAAAGAAGAGTCTCCGTCTTTTTCTGCCAACACCTTAGTCTCAACAAGAGAAGGAGGAGGAACTGCCAAATAAACTAGATGATTCATGTTAGACTGATTGATTGCCTTATTAGTCAGTAGGTGGGATACTTTATTTCCTTCCTTGTAGTTATGCATAATCTTTGGCTTCCCCATTCCGGATAGTAATAATTTACAGTCATAAATTAAGGCATCGTAAGTAGGACATCCATTCTTCAAGTATTTTATTACCTCAGTTGAGTCAATTTTCACTTCCAGTAGTGGGAGATTCATTTGCATAGCCACTTGGAGACCTTGTCTGAGTGCCAGAAATTCTGTATGCAAAGGAGAAATAACTTTGGAATAATCTTGGTAGCCAACTACCCAGTCACCTTTACAATTCCTTACTACACCTCCCATTCCACAACACAATTTATTGACATTAAAGGAAGCATTGGTATTTAACTTGTACCACCCAGCAGGTGATTTATGCCATCGAATATGTATGGGAATTTTCTTAGTTGAATTATTTCTCTGTCAGTCATGAGCTTATATTCTACAACATGATTAATAGCAGTCATAGAGCTCATGACACTGTTTATGTTATTTTGATTGTTACGGCTTCTGTTTATCCAAAGATACCAGATAACAAATGGAAAGAGATCTCTCCAAGTCAAAAGTTTATTAACATTAGTCGTGGGGGTCATGTCTCTAAGTGTAATAAGCCGATGCTTAGATATTTGGTGATTTACTGCAATTCCTAACTTGTTCCAGACATTACCTGCCGTATAACAATGTAGAAATATATGAGTAATGGTTTCTTCAGCTTCTCTACATACTAGACATACTACATCTATGTTCATTCTGAGGTAGTTTAGATAAGAACGACAAGGGAGCCTATCGTGGTAATATAGCCATAAAAGGAGCTTAACTTTGTTCGGGGAATGATGTTTCCAAATCCATGTAAAATATTTTTCTGTATTACTAAAGTCATCGATAAGTTTGTAGCAGGAGTTGGTAGTAAACACACCACTACTGGTAATATCCCAAACTGGAATGTCATAGGCTTTGGGATAGAGTGGATGAATAACTCGGTTGTGTTGTCAATAATATTGGGGGGTAAAACAAATGAAATATTCGAGAGGTCCCAGTCATTGTTCGTGCACAAGCCTTTAATATTCAAATTGAGGTCCGAGATGTTTAGAGGCCCCTCTATAGTGCTTCTAAGGCTATGAATATTTGGGATCCATCTGGCATTCCACATATTGCTTGTAGAATTTTTATGAGTGATCCAAAATATTTCCAAATTACAGTAGTATCTCCCTTTTATTACGCCTCGCCATATAAATGAAGGACTAGACTTAGGTTTACCAGATTCATAGCTACTAATAAGAAGTTGAGACCAAGCTATGTGCACAAATAGCCATTAACAACACCTATCTTTATTTTAAAGTCAGTGTTTTAAATGTCTTTAGTCTTTAGCCACTGCTTTAATAAACTTATACCTGACTGGACGAAAATACTCTTCTACTATAACTTATACCTACGCTTTTATTAACGATTAGCAGCAGCAACAACAACACCAAATTACTTCACTGTGATCGTCGAAATTGCAGAAGATTCTCTTCCGATTTCAAACTATAGAATTCAACATTCTCATCTAAAAATCGACATAGATTTACAGTAAGTTATACTTTTATGTGTTTCTATTGATTTTTATTTCGACATAGTTATACTTTTTCCGATTTCTATTGATTTTTATACAGTAAGTAGAAATTTGATTTTTTTTTGAATTTCTGGATTGATAAAGTTAAGGACATCGTGTCCTGTAATAATTCTATAAAAATTGAGCACATATTTTTAAGGACATAGTGTCCTGATTTTGCAAATTGAATTGAAAAAGTTAAAGACACAATGTCCTTAACTTTGTTGCTGTTCTTCTGTATATTAAGCACATACTGTCATAGTTTTGCAAATTATTTTGAAAAAGTTAAGGACACTTGGTCATGAACTTTGAGTTTCAAGTTGAAAAGCTCAGGACACTTGGTCCTGAACTTTGACTTACATGTTCAATATTTAACGACAGTTGATCCTTAACTTACAATTATTAGTTAAAAAGTTAAGGACATGTAGTCCTTAACTTCAAGTTTCAAGTTCAAAAGTTAAGGATAGGAGTCCTTAAGTTTGACTTACATGTTCAAAAGTTAAGGATAGGAGTCCTTAAGTTTGACTTACATGTTCAAAAGTTAAGGACAGACAGTCCTTAAGTTTGAATTATAGGTTCAAAAGTTAAGGACATGCAGTCCTTAAGTTTGAATTCCAAGTTCAAATGTTAAGGACACTTGGTCCTTAACTTGGTCTTGAACTTACAGTACATGTTCTTAATTATACAAGTATTGCATTATAAAATATGTCATGAGTTTCCCATTCTCTTGACTTGCAGGATGGAAACAATATGCATTATAGTTGCTTTTAATGGTAGATGGACTGAAGACTATAA